ATGGACTGGTCATGGCCATTTTACAACGGATGTCGAGCTGGTGTGTAATTTCCCACTGGTTCAATTTAAGATAATGGTATATTATAAGACGCTGAGAGCAACACAATCGTTTTGCCTCACCAGTGTTCAAGCATTCAACTGAGCATGATATATGAGACAAAAACATTGCCAATATCATCGTTTTCAAAAGTGGTGAACAGAAAATAAACAGCAGGGACGGGGCAGGGGGTGAAGCAGCTCGTACAAATATCAATAAACACTCCTCTTCCGTCTCGGAAGCTTCCTGCTTTATTTGATTAGGCTGAGGATGGAGGGAGGGCTGGGGTGAAAAACAGAGCAGTCATGCTCCTTTGCTTTTCTTCCTTCTTTCCCTTCTTCTGCAATCTTCAGCCTCTTCTTAATGGGAATGGGAAGTTTGGGAAGTGGAGGGGGGAAAGAGGGGATGGGTGGAGTGGGTTGCAACTAGCCTCAGTCTAACCTCCCCCATCTGGACTGAAGAGGGGAGGGAGCAACTTGCCAGCCTTCAGGCTACTCCCAACCCTTCCCAGCTGTTGGCTGTTCAGGGACAGAGAATTTTTTTCCGCCCCAAGTGTGTGTTTTTGGTGGGCTTGAGAAAGCATTTTTTTCATAAACATTTGCCATATCCTCCACCAGCTGCTGACCCCTTTGCTCTTGTCCCTGAGCAGAGCTCTGCAGTAGGCAGTGGGGAATGGTTTTCATTTAGTACACTCTGATTTGGAGGAGACACTCGCTAAAGGGTTCTTGGCCTCACTGCTGTTAGCACGCTAGCTATAAAGTAGAATCCAGACTGGTCAGTGGCTGGAAGCACAAGATGTTAGCTGATAGCAGCCCTGCTGCCACTGCGGCTCCTGCCTCAGGAGGATGCAGTTGCTTCAGCTCAGTTTCTAAATGAATCTACTAGAAATGTGGGGTGATTGTATTCCAGCCACAACTGTCTTGTCCTTCACATAAATTGTTCTCTAACTCATAGTGACAAGAAAAAAAAACAACAACAACAAAACAACAGAGTGCAACACCTGCCACAGAGTGCAGGTGTTGCAGAGAAACAAAGTCAATCTGAACTTCTTGCAGAAGCTTTTTATACTGAAAACAAATGAGCCTTCAAATGAATGCCATGCATATTATTGGTCATATAATGGCCAGAGATAAACAAAACTTAGTTATAATGTATGGGGCGCTTTCTAGTTTGAAGTCATTGTGATATGAAAAAGTTGGGGTTTTTTATAGACCTGAATAACATCTATCAAAGTACCAGAGTCTGCAAAGTATCACTTGCAAAGGACTTCAGTTGACCAATGCCATTAATGGCACAATATAATGTTTAATGGGTCATGCATTCATGTTGTGCATATCCAGAGTATATCTAGCTAGTGAAGTAGATTCTGCCTTCCCCTAGTGCTCTGACTGAGTGTATTTCTCGACCAGCTGAGATGCTAGAGCTCCTGTTGGGTGGCAGGGACATTGTGTAATGTACTTTACGGAAAAAAAGTTTTTGGAAAATGAATGTCAGATTCAGAACAGTAGCACCCAAATTTTATATTTCATGGGCGTTATTCAGGAGCTTTGTCACTGTGAAGCCTCTCTGGAATACTCTTCCTATGTCGGATCCCCGTTAGGCAATGTAGTGAGCCAGGCTGCCTTTAGTGAGGGTTACTCAGGGTTTGAGAGTTCTATTAATGAAATGTCAAACCAATGACATGTCAAACAAATTGCAATTTGAAGAAAAAAGTAACTAACTCCTTGGTGATTGGCAGCGTGGGCAAGTACCAAGTCCTGCTGGAAAACTTAATCAAAATTTTAGCGTTAGAAAAAAAAAGACAGGCCGGTAGGGTGTGGAAGCAAAAGGTTGGTCTAAAACCTGAATCAATGAATTCCATCTTGGACATTTGGGTTTATTATAATCATCATTTATTAGGGAGGGGCAGCACAAAAGTCCCCTCCATAGTAATAATATTTGTTGAAATAATATTCTACCATAGGTAATTTAAAGCCTCTGTCTTCAGAGTTCTGGTAACATTCATAGATCAGTGCTAGTAGTAATAGCACAGACCACTGGCAACAGAGGTGAGCCAGAGGCAAAGTCAAATACTGTCCAGCCAAGTGGAGGTAAATGTATACATAACTATGATGGACATGAAAAACATTACCTCAATCATCTCGAGTCCCTAACTGCACTTAAAATGTCTGAGTGTGACTTTAAATTCCACCCAAAAAACAAAGAACAAAAACTACTTCATAGAATATGCTTCAGACTTTCAGATTTTATATCAAACGGTCCTGCCACAACAAAATTTAAGACCTGTAATTAAAATATTTAAGGTCGTTTTTGATCAAAATATCTTAAAATAATTTTAAGATATTTTAAGGCTTTAATTCTTGATACATCACCATAAGACATTTAAATTACGCATGGAAACCCTGTATTAAACAACCATCACCCAAACACTGTTGTTGACCGGTTACTCTAGAACTCAAATGAGTCAAGTATTTTTACGTGGTGTTGGAAGAAAAAAATCTAATCAATAAAATGTCAACTGATGGCTGATGGCCACATTTTACAGCCACTTATCAGAGGCGGAACAGTGGCTCCAGCACAGGCGGACGACTACGATGGGTGGGTGGTCCGCTTTTAGGACTAATTGTTGTAAAATGAAGCATTACAAAGTACACAATACAGAGCAGAGACATTCCTCACATTTCTCACAATCAGACAATACAATTTAAATTTTTGCTGTGTAAAACAACAATCCCAAAAATACAGGCAATAATGCTTCAGAATTTTATTTTTCATTTTGAAAGATTATATCCCAGGCTGTAGGTAAATATGATGTTCACTCAGGCAGCCACAGCAGAAGAAGAAACAAAATACATCAGAACCAGAGCTATGCAAACATAAAGCCAGAAAAAAGATCACAGAGAATGAAGTGAAAGACAAAAATTAAGCATTTTCTGTCTTCCTGTCCTCATAAAGTCATCCTTCTGCATGTGTGGATGAACAAGAGACTAGGTGCTGGTAAGTCAAGGTGGCTGAAGGTGCCAGTGGTGTATGTACACAATCCAATGGCATACTTACACTGATGCATTATGTAAGAGGCAGCCAAGCCTCATGTAACATTCATCAGGTTGAGGAGGCCGTAGGTGAGGCCTGCACAGCCCCCAGCCAAAAACAGCCCCTACCTCTAAATGAGTGTGTGTGAGCTCAAAGTGAGCTTTAACACAGCCACATGGCGGATCCACAAAGACAAAGAATTCTCATGCAAGTGCTTTTGCAAATGCAGTGTTACACACAAAAAGGAATTAGAACTTTAGGGTTGACTTTTTCTCCATGTACAAATACACACATGAACACCCATCCAGAAACTTTGGCTGGTTTAAAGCTCTTGGCTTGGACGTCTCACTTGACCTTTGACCTCAGGCGTCCAGAACCCATATAGACTCGTTCCTCCTCTTTGTAGTGCTCTGCTCTGGAATCACATGGTAATACTTCATTATGGCAGCACTGTAATTTGGGGGGGAATGAGCACTTCAAACGAACAGCAACCCACACATAAACACACACAGACGGGGTTACTGTATGTCTGTGGAACCTGCAGTTCTGTGGGGACCACTAGCAGTTGTTTTTTGTTTTTTCTTTTTCTTTTTGAGTTCCCAGATCCGTCCAAAATACACTCGGACAGTAATCAGAGGCGCGGGGCAAGGTTATAATCGTTGGGGCTGATTACAAAGGGGAGTGTAATGGTTTAAATTGGGACACCAAACTGCACACAGCAAAATGGCCGAATGCTTCAAATTCTACAACCTCCTGGTAAGCCCAGAGTTTCACCCTGCAATAGAGATTGTTACACCTGGTAAGTCTTTGCCTGTTGGGTGGTCTTTACTGTAGAGACGATTTGGATATTCCAGTTTAAATGTTTACACCCTGTAGTGTAAATCACATTTTCTGAACTGTAAATAAGATGCTTGCTCACTTACTGGCTGTAAAATGTAAACAACTACCACTTATACAATTACACTGCAAAATGAGTGTGTATAGATGTGTTGTAACAATAAGGGTTTTAAGTAAATGTGGCAGTTCATTTCCCAATGAGCCGACTGCATACAGAAACATTGCTAGTTATTAACATTTGCTTCATACATGTTATAGTTTTTTTGTATCCATAGAATTTGAGAAAAGTGTTAGAAGTGATAAATACATTACAAGATTTGAATATTTAGCTTTCTGTGGTGAGAGAACCACTTAGATCTGTGAGCTTTTTTTTTTTAGATGAATATTAGGACAGACCAAATCTACGGCCTGGAATAAATGATAACCTTACCCTCTCAATACAGAAGGATCAATATTATAGTTTTTCTTTATAGCAGATAGTTTGCTATAAAGGGGGTGCATACTGTGTCTGAAGTCATTGTCTTTGTGTTAACAACGGTTAATTTGAAAAACTATGCATTAAAATTGTGTTACATGTGAGAAAATTCCTGTTGAAAAAATATGCTTCAAAAAGACCAAACAATCATGAAAATGTGACTGATTAGAAACATTTTATCCATCATAAACATATTAAATGTACTAAACAATAATTTAAATAGGGATTTATTTCATATGGAAGTGAGGGTTCATAAAAGGCATGGAGTTAAAATTCATAAAGTTGCTTCTGAATTTTTTTTTTTAATTACAAATTAAATTTCCCAAAATCTCCATGAGCCGGTAGGGACTGCCTTTGGTTATAAAACACTATATGGTCAATCATTACTATTCAAGCGGTTCTGCTCAAACAAATCTATTCACTGCTAAATTCCCTACAGATGGTTCAGAAACACCTGCAAATGATTCATTTGTGATTTTAGAGAGAAGCAATTAGGAATAACAAAGGCCATGTACAAAAAATGAACTGCAATATGAGAAAGTTGCATGCCAAACAAAATGTTCAAACTCCAGGATGGAAAAAAGTCTGGAATTAAAAATGGACTTCATTGTTCACATGAACCTTTCAGTATATATCCATTACATCAGTTTTTATTTATTCATCTTAACCAAGGGAACACAAATAATCCTCAATCATCTATATATCTAGTACTAATTACACACGCACACACACCCGCACACACCTACCCTGTTTTGAACAGTTAACTCAGACGCTTACATAATCTGAAACTGTCCTTTGTCCCCCCACATACACACTACACAGGCTCAACATGATGCTCCAGTATGTACAACTGAAGACGTGTGCTGGGTGCATGCAGTCACATGCTTCAAATCAAAGCAAAACAAAATTCCAAAGTTCAGCTCAAACATGTATAGAGTATGTACACCTTCAGTGTTTACTAATCAATCAAACACAAGACCATACAAATAAACAACCATTCAATATTTACAAGTGTACTTCATTTTATACATACACACATTATGGCAACTATACACAGTTAACCAGTGAGTACATAGGTATACATTACTGGATCAGTACATGGGCAGAACATCACTGTATGCTAACCTGTGTAGCTGGGATTGAACCTGAGAGCTGGCTCAGACAGTGGAACTGAAATATTTAGCTGAATTACAAAACCACACATTTAGGAAATGATATGCTGTTTCCAACAATGTCCTACCTTCACACAAAAAAGCAGGAGAAAAATGCCTTACAAATTTAAAGGAAAAGAGTCATTACATTTGTTATCATTTTTTAAATTATAGTCTCAAAACAATCAAGTTCACATTTTAAAGTCAAAATTAGTCTAATAAGAGTAAACGGGACATTTAGGTTAAGTCTCTGTCACACTCATTTTTGTTACTTGAGACGAACTGTCTCCAGAAATATTTTGCAGTTGGTATATTTATATTTTGCAGTTGGTATATCTATATTTTGCAGTTGGTATATCTATAAAAGGCAAAATTGTGTTTGTGGTTGACACTGCAGATGCACCAAAAGGATTCCATATTGCAAAACTATGATACAAATTATGTTAGTTTTTTATTTCCCTCAAAAGGATTTAAAGATATACAAACTATGTTTTAATTTCTGAACAAATTAAAAATATATCCTGATGGTAGTTTCTGACTGAAGAAACTACCATTAAAATCTACATATTTTCTTCTGAAGCATCCCACAGTTCCAGAGGATTGTATCTCCTTATCACTGACATTCTATCACAATAAAACCTCCTGCTATTAGACAGGAGGTTTAAGAAATTCTCCTAAAGTTCCTATAAAGACCAAAGACTGCTATTGTGCCAGTCTGTTACTGCTCAGACATGATGGATTAGTGAGAAATAATAATTAAAAAAAACATTTTAAAAAAAGCTAATTGATCAGAATGTTAAGAATGTGCAATAAGAAATCAGAGTGAGAGTACCTGTTCATAAACTCTAACTTGAATTTGATATCCCACTTCTTTTTCAAGCGAGGTTTTGTAAAAGTTTGAAAATCACAAATCAAATATATTAGGGAAATCGAACTGCCTCCGCCTTTAAACACATTTAAACATGTTTTCCTCCATCCTGTGCTCATTTATTCCATCTCATCTTGAGCTGGAATCAGGATGCATGCTGTATCATCTGCCTACAAAGCAAATATTTGTTCAAAGCAAAAAAACAACAACAAAAACTGTGCTGCAAGACAAGAGACAGCTCAGTCCACTGTTCTGTTAAAGGCTGATGAGTTTCTCAGGAAGAGGCCATTTTGGTTGAAAGAACCTGAAACCTTCCATTTGTTAAAATAAAGCAGAAATTAAAGTAGTTAGTTTACTATCAGATGGAAGTAAAAAATATGTTTTCTTCTATTTTTGTTTTAAGAAAAGACAAGTTTTTTTTTTCTTTTTTTTAAGTACTAATTTTAGGGTCATACCTGCAGAAAAATGTCAGACAGACAAACAGAGACAAACAAGTCGTAAGCTGGTCATGTTCTTCTCCTCCTCCTCCTCCAACCGCCTGGCCTCTTCTCACACACACTAATGAGAAAACAATGGCTGGGCAGTGAGGGAGACAGGGTGGGTTGATGGAAATGCATAGGTAATGATGTATGCTTGGAAGATGTATAAACATAAGAATAAAAATTAACTGAAATGGTTTTGGTAGAGCAGGGAGCTTCTGTTTTTAGGAATAACCTGCAGGAGACAAACAGGAGATAAAAACATAAAATGTTGGGTTTCAGTCTCTTCTGGCTGTATAGAGGTGTGGGTAGTTTAGTAATGGTTTTGCCCCCCACATGCATATTTAGTGAAAGAAGGTGAACAAGTGATGCATGGTTCACATGGGAAGATTTTAAAATTGTGAGGGAACACGTGTGAAGATGAAAAAGTCAAGTTTTGTTGTTCGGTGTGTGTTGTCAAGACAGACAAAAAAAACCTTAAAATTTCACTCAAATCTCAGAAAATCTTGAGACCAAAAAAAAGAACTAAGAATAAACAAGTATGGCCAGCAGGAAAAAAGCCAGGGCGATAGATAGTAGACTGTTTAACAGAGACAGAGGTAAAGCACAACCCATGTGTGAAGGTTTTAGTCCTGGACGCGGCCGTCACAGGTTCAAGTCCCGGACTGGTGTCTTCCCTCTCTGTCCTGTCTAATCACTCATAAATAAAGGCTGCAAAAGCCGATAAAACATAAAAAAAAGAAGATTATCAAAAATAAAAATTGGGATAAAACTACAGGAAAATCTTGCCGTGTGAACAAGGCATTAGGGGGAATGCACAACCTGCCTTCATTAACTGCTAGACGACAGCTGAGCTGAAGAGAGATGGTTAATAAAAAAATGACCTAGCACTTCCAGAGCAAATTGGAGTCTAACAGAATAAAAAAAATGCTATTCCCTTTAAGTTAAAGTTTAAATTCAGCATACTGAAATTATTTCTAACTTTATAAGCATGTTAAACTAGATAATAACTATGCAGCATATTAAATTGTGCTATTATTTAACACAAAACACACTTCATGTGCTGCTCATCAAGCACATCTGTTTCATCACATCGTTTTTGCATATTTTCACACCAGTGTTACTGCCTATGGAGCTAGGGGGAGTCAACCAACACTCTCCAGATGTTGTTAATTCCTTTAAAATTACAAATAAAAGTACATTTAAAGCAACTTCCTGAATTTAGTCCAGTGTCAAACTGGATAGTGATCAGAGAAACTGCAAAAGCTGCTGCAGGCCTCCAGTCAGTCAGATCGTTCATTTTGTGTCACTGAAGGCAAAATAAGATTTCTACACGTATCAGCAACAGGTGAATGAGGGGCAACTTCATATTATTTAATGTTTCAAACTGCTGGAGGAAACTCCAGTCATTCTGGCCTTTTCTATGGCATCTGATAAGAACAGCTGTAGGTATAAGCAGCTCAGAATCCATAGCTTTTAAAATATCTACAATATCTGCTTCTGACGCTGCAGAAGCAGCACATTTTGAAAAGGGGACATTTTTATGTACATTCACTTTCAAATCATGACCCGGGCAAGAATGTGCATCAAAGACTGGTTTGAGATTATGCATCAAGGTGAGTGAAAAACATTCCAACTGTGAATGAGTTCTGGCAGAAGTGCCGGCGGTTGGAAGGCAGCAGTGCTGACTGGGAAAATCCAGCCTGCTCATTTAGTCTGATGGAACTGTAAAGCAGCTAACACACGCAGGGGCAATTGCGCCTGTATATGTGTGTCACTATGTGAGCTTCATTAGTGTACATCTTGGCTTTGTGTGTGAGCGTAATGGGTACCGTGTGCTTGCCGAGGTCTTGTTTGCCCATCTTAAGTCAATTAAAAGGAAATAAGGCTCCTATGACCGGCCCGTGAACCAGCTCCCTCAGCTGAGAGCATGTCTGCGCAAAACACATGGAGGCTGATAATGCTCCACAACTGGCAATCGACCCTGTGCCCTGCTGTGTGAGAAACAATGGCTCTGAGGCTCTTGGAGTAAATGTGTATGTGTGTGTTAAGTACGGTGTGTCTGACAAAAAGGATCAGAAGGAAACAGTCGAAAACAACATCAGACGAAAAAGCAAGACACACACATGCAGGCGTTCTGTTTGTCTCAGAGGAGAGCCAACAAACACATTTTTGGATCCAGAGAAGCTAAAAGCCACACAAAACACAGTTCACCTTGTTAAAATGTTGCAAGGCGTAGCCAATCAGCTTCAAAAAGACAACAGAGAAAAATACTGCTATGAAAAAAGTTCTCATCATCATTGCCTTAATTTTACCTCCACTGATCCAGGAAATCCATGCTTTGAAGCTGCAGTATGCTAAAACTGTCACCACGCCATGACAGCATGTGAAAAAAAAAATCGAGCTCTGTCTTCTCTCATCTTACTTCCATCTGCAGAAACAACCAATCAGAGCTGTCAATCACTCATGTGTACAGATTGCTCAGCGTGCTGATGACAGAGAAATAATTGTCCGGTGCAGGAAAATCATGTCTCTGCAATCATCTGTGGTTATGCTAGCTAGCCTGAGCATTGACAGCAGACTCCTCTGGGAAAGGAGCTGCAGCACAGCAGTTAGAGAGAGAGAGAGAGTAACGGCCATGTCTGACAGGAGGCATGGGACGAGTAACATCATCTTAAACCAATTGTGTTCAAAACTTTGTTAACTGATGTCACCTTAACAAGGCCTCAAGGAATGAAAGGAATGGCTCCAGTCTGGACCATAAAGCCCGTTAAACCTTGGTGATACCACCATGGTAGTTCAGCAAATACAGAACTCTGCAAATATTCCCTCGGATTTGAATATAATAGTGCAGATGATCTTGTCCTACATGTAATCCTACATGAGCCTAATAAAATAAAGCAACTGGGGATCAATTTTGAATGTGTAAATTTGTTCACTATTGGTACAGTTATTGCCTGTTTTACAAGGTGAAAATCACAATTTTCCATTTATTTTTGAAAGATATATGTATTTTCTCTTAACAATCCATCAGAATTGGAACTTCCATGGACATTATTGTGTCTGCTTACATTAAACATTTCACTCACTATGCTACTCAAAGTTTATTTTAATTATTTGTAAAGTTGTGTACAATTTCACTCTGTGACAATAAAAAAGAAAATTAAAATGCGGTTAAAGCATTTGTTTTAGGGCTCCTATGTCTTGATTTAATTAAACTGGCTCATAATAGTGAGGTTGAGACAGAAAGCAAAAAACAACCAAAAAGAAAACCCCATCACATTCAGTTATTGACAAAAACAAAGGACCAACTTACCCAACCCATAAGGAATGAGCTGATTTAAATCTAACTTGGCACTCATGAAGGTCGACAACATGGAAATGATTTGATTTGGGAGGAGCCTAAAAGTCTAGATTGGCTCTCAAGTGCAAAAGTGGTTGTTTGAAAAGTAGAGCATCAGTATAAAGGCAGATACCAAAGAATCTAACAGTAAAAACAGAAAATGAAGGTAAATGTCTCATAGATCCACCATTAACAGAACCCAGCAGAGTTTAATAGATGTTGTGTTTTGGGTTTAATTTAGGTTCGTCAAGTTTTATAGGGATCATAGATGTCACACTGACCCAAAACAGGAGTCAGTTGGTAGGTGAAAGCATTAACACATGTTCCATCAACAGTTCAGTGCTGCTCATGCTGTAACGTCACAGAGATCGCTATGATTGGTCTGCATTGGACTAAACCTCTTAACTTGTTTTGTGTTTCCAGTGACAGGGTGATCTCACATCTTCAACAGTTTTTAGTGGAAGGGCTTCTTTTTTCCAGGGAAAATAGACTTTCTTGAGTTCCATATTTTATCCAAACCCAAGAAGGGGACAATGAGAATTAATCGTTTTAATAGTCAATAATGAGACCTTCAGTCTCAACACAGTGAGCCTCCATGTAGCAGAGGCATGGAGGCTGTAAAGGAGCTTTTTTACAGTAATCCATCTCCTAGAAGCAGATGTTAAAGTCTTTGTGTTGGGCAGAGAGAATAAAATTCACACTCCAACAATGTTTCTTTGGTGACAGAATATTTTCTTGATAAGTCATGCAGCACAAACATTTCATTCCTAGATGGTCAGCAATTTTTTAACATGAAAAAATAAATAAAACAGGACAATGGTGTTATGTAAAACATACCAAAGGAAGTAGAAAACACTATTGATCACCAGTAAGCACACGTCTCACATCAGAAGATGTTTTCACACACTGTTTCTGAAAACAGGGAAAATGGGAATTCTTCGAAAGAATCACCACTACATACATTGTAGTTGTACATACGTTTGTACCACATATGTAGTGAACTGGATGAATTACAATTTGCCTTCTATGAACAGATAATTTAATTGTGCAGTTACTTAGTTCACGTAACAGTTCATGCAGGATTTCAAGATTATCTTGTAACTTTTCATAATCAAAGTCACTGATGGTGTAGCGTAAACTATATTGCAATACTTTTTTCTCATTAAACCCTTCCAAAATGAACCTATAGCAGAAAAATATAGTCAATGAACCCACTTGTATGTGATCAAATGTCTGAGTTTAGACATGAATCGCTGCCACACTGGATACTAGAATTACAAAAGCCAACGTTTTGAAATTCAAAAACATCTCTCAAACCGAAGTCATTAGCAGTCGGCATGATTATCAATGATAGGCAGTGGGAATGCCAATTGCTGCAGAAGTAGAGCTATACTTTTGCAGCTGTGGTTCAGCTGCACCTCCCACCCATCATTTTCCAGTGCAGTGTCAGCTCATGGCGAATGAGACACATTGAGTCCAGGTCAGAGATGGTTCTCAGGTGGGATTTTCTTTCAACTGATTGATTATACTCTGTGCATGACGTCGAAAATCTTTGTGAATCAGCACCAAGTGACCAGCTGTGTGAATTACAATCTGTTAAAATCCGTAAACATCCGTTACTCCAGTGTCTTCCAGCAGCCCAAACATATGCATGCAGGACGACATGTGGTCATCCTACATGAAGGTCTGAAAGTGTAGCAGTGGACGTCCATAAGATTCTGTACTGACTCACACTGACTGGCAGCCTGGCCGCTGCGTACCCACTGCCTGTTGAGAATTGGCCTGTGCTCCCTTTTGATCCTGAATAAGTAAGTAGATCCTAAGTAAGCAGGTACAGAAAAAGTAATGAATCATTCAATTTAATCTTAATATTCTGCATGTAGGGGAAAAGA